GTGTGGAAAGCAACTGAAAGTATAGCGGCAGAGCTAGACGTGGGTATTGCTCATCGTCCGACATCGATCATACATTCGCGGATCATGCAAATAAAAGACCCACTGCTGGTAGATGCGGGCAGCAGTCTGGTGTCGTTTATCAAGTGCCATCTCGCGACTGTTTTTGCTATCAAACAGGGCAGACAGGGCGACGACTTACCTCTCGGATTGGATTCAACCAATCACGACGGCCACCCACTCCCTATTGTCTCGTAGCTGTACTACAAAGGCATGTCAATTGTTGCTGTTCTCGCATTTTCTCTGACGATGGCCTCCAGTATGAGCCTGAAAGCTCAGATTACTAGGAGTGCTGTCTCAGTGATCGCGCTATTGTCTTCTTTGCAGTAGCAAAAGGCAACACGCGAGTAAGGCTAGGAGTGAGGTAGATACTTTGAAAGCCGCCGTCAGCACAAACGGATCTGCGTGTAAGCCTTCTCCGCCCACCCCCTCCTAACGCGCAAGACGGAGTTCTTAATCCAGTACACAGTACACGACCTGCCAATATGGAAATGAAGAACGAAATCCTTCACGGCAGTGTGCCCATGCTTCCCCGGAATGCAGAGAGAAGATATTTGTACGCTAATGGATCGGTGCAAGCAGTAGGAGACTGCCTCCGCAACCCAGAATCACCCAATTATGCCCAGGCTGGTCGTAAATCGGATCAGCGGAACAATTCTGCTGGTCTGTGGAAAAAAACACTGCACACGAAAGAAAGTGTGACGTGTTCACGTGCGTGCGCACGCACGCACGCCCACGCACGCATTAACGCCCACAGGAACGCTTCTGATTGGCGGAAAGATGGTGGCCAGTAAGAAGGCAGACAACGCACACAGGGTGGAAGAAGTACGACTGAACAAAATCTACCACAGCTTGGAAATTAAGCATCGGAGTAATTTTCGTTAGTCACGGCTACACGGACGTTGCACATGACATAATTTTTATGGTAGGCGGTCAGGTTACGAAAAGTCCTTGACCCCTTGTGTTTTGGGGCTCAAAGTAGAATAAGCGTAAGCAGTCGCATGGCGACAACTAGGAGATACCGTGGCACCATGGGAGATCGGAATGCCTAGTTGGCTGTAATTAGCCAGCAATATCCAATCCCAAAGGAACGAGTGAGTTCCGCAAACCATCGGTGAGCGTGCACTTAACATTGTTAATATTCCCGGCGGAAATCAACGAGCTCGTGGCTCAATGGAATAGAGCGTTGGACTTCTAACTAAAAAGGTCGCGGGTTCGAGCCTCGGATGTTGCGATACCTGGGATTGGGTATGGCTTGCTGATGAGGACTAATAATCCAGAAATGGTCATTTCGGTCTCCCTTGTCTTTGCCGTTAAGAAAGTGTACCTATAATATGCTAGGCGCTGCTGACGGGATGCGAGAGTGAGCACGAAGGCACAATGAGACGAACACGTTTCATAACCTGATCGATGACCGACCCTATTTTTTATAAACAGTAATGAGCGTATCTTAAAGTAGTTTCCCACAGTGCGAGGTCATAAGGGCTAAAGTGGACCCAGTTAAGAAATGTATGATTTGAGCTTGACCTAGATGTTTTGTTAATTACAGACGTTTTTGTCTCACTCTGTAATTTTCAACTCGCCAACACTTCCTTTACTGCAAATATCTGTTTCATTTCATTTCAGTCATCCTCCGCAAAGCGGGAAAACGTTAATAGACTGAGTGTATATAGTTATCCTAGTTAATATACCATTGTAAGCCAGCTCTGTTAATGCTTTAAAACGATCGTGGAGACTAACTTTGAGTTCATTATAAACGATTCCGAGTTGCCAGAAATTGACTGACGTATAAATACGCCATTCTCACTTGAATTCCAGATGATTTTGCATACTACTCACTTTTCAAAAAGTGATCTTCATACTCACCGAACAGAAACTATAGCCTATTCGGTTTACTTTTTTTACTAATTACATTCACGCGTCATTTGGGAATTTCCATGGCGATCTTTAAACGAGTGATGGAGCATTAATTCGTTGTGGCCTTCTAGCTTCCCTTTCTGGCTTTATTCTACCATTTAGCTCAATTGCAACTTCGTTTGGATAAAGCCGTTTGAGACACTAAGGTAAAGACAATTGCTAGATGGGCGTTTACCGATCGGTTACGGAACTTACTTGTGTTGTTGTGCCTTGGAACTAAGTCTCGAGCCTCATTCAATAGCCGCTCAGCAGCTGGCACATTATGGGTCGAAATACATTACTGACAAATATTATGGAGACTGGAATGGTCCTTTCTGGCTTATTAACCGTCATCAGCCAGCCATTTTCAACCTCAGGTGGTTTGCCACCGAGGCTGGAGCCCACGAGCTCGTTGATATCG